GAGACCTCAGGGAGAGGGGGGCCAGGTCGGGGCACGGCCCATGCTGGCATGGCAAGTGAGGCACAGAGCTGGGGTTTCGCGGTTCAAATGCGAGATGAGGCAGGGCGATAGCACTCCAGTCCGGGAGGCAACCCGCAGCGATATTGAAAAGGACCCGCCTCTCGCCCTCCCACGACACGACACCCCGCACCTGGCCCAGGCCGATGGTGTACTTTCCGGATGGCACGCCATCGTGCTTCTCCAGGTCCTCCTGCCGGACCTGCGCGCCACGGAAGGGGAGTGGGGCCGCAGGATCGACAGTGGCGCCGGTCGGCCAGACCAAGTCAGGGTGTGCGCGCCTTGAAACGATTGAAACGCAACCACCCCTGGCAGGCCCTCTGCTCGTTTCATGACCTACATAGGTTGTGGGAAAGTAGACCTCGGCCGCGAGAATGCCCACATTCTCCGCTTGGGGCGGGGCGGGGCCAGACTCGTCTATGGACATGCCGACAGGGCCGCGAGGAGACAGACCCCCTTCAGGCTCGACGAATCGGCCTGGCATGTAAGCTCATGCAGTGATGTAGCTGGTTCCTGGTGCGTGTGTCGCCTCCTACCCCTGCCACGCCCAACGGAAGCCCTTCCGGGGGCGACGATGACTCACCCACACGCAATCCTCGTCATCAGGCTTTTGAAGGGCATCCCCCTCAGCTCGTACTATTGCTCGTCTACGGCCAACAGGTTACTCTGGAAATGTACCCCATCATGTTGCTCCGGCAGTGTCTGTACCCTGAGCATTGCTGAATGCATTGAGAGCACGCGTCTTCAGTTCGTTGAGATATTCAATCTGGACCCGCTGTGCCTGAGAGCCGGCCGCGCCCTGCAGAGCCACATGCTCCATCATCACCTGGATGCCTTGGAGCAGCTCTGCACCGCTGTGGTGGGAGGATATGGAATGCTGTGGGTGATGCCTGTCAGAAGAACGGCTCTGTTGGCCATGTGGTCCACACCCTTCCCGGTGTGCATTGGGTTACAAGCACAGGCACCCCTCATTTGCACAATTTGGCCCTACCTCGATCCCTGCTTCCCAGCCATGTCCTGCAGCATGCTTGTCCACTGCTCCTCATCTGCTTCAAGGAAGGCATCCATCACGCCTGGCCGGCCCTGGCCGCCAGGCTGAATGTCCAGCAGGGAGCAGCCAGCAAACATTTGCAGGACCTTGCGCAGCAGCAGCGCCATGCCTGAGAGGATATTGGGTGACAGACAGGGCTCAGTATGGGCAGTGAACTGGGAGGGGTGGCACATTGTGTGACACGATCCAGCAAGGTTGCCACAGCATGCTCATCTGCAGCCCTCCCTGCCTCTGCACTGTGCATACCAAGGATGACAAGCAGCACATGGCAGTGACCTGGACTCCTCAGAGGCTTGCCATATTGCTGTGAACCCCCTCACTTCCAAACATTGCATAGAGGTACTGTCGCCACAGATCGCTTATTCTCAACCACCTGGCACCGTCCACCCCCTCCCCAGCACATGGCCGCCTCCACGACATGATATCACTGCCTCTGCCTCAAACCCTTACCCTCTATGCTGTCAGACTCAGACTTCCGGATCCAGGCCATGGCCGAGGTGACGAATGCCTCGTCCAGTTGGGTAGAGTGCACCGCCATCACCCCCCGCATGGCCCGTCTCTTGTCGGTACTCAACGGCAGCTGCCACTGCCCCGAGTCGCCGTCCGCCCCCGCCTCTAGGACCCGTTGCAGGAGTCGGGATGAGCGCTGCACCTGGCTCTCGCTTTCCTTCACCATCTCGTCCACCAGCAGCATCACGTCCGAGGCCAGCTGGGTCAGACTCTCGGCCTCTGCCTCGCTGCTGGCAGTGTCCCTGCGGGCGGCCAGGCGCAGCCAGAACCCACGGTCGAAGCTCAGCAGGTTTTTGGCCACGGCCTCGGGAAAGGAGCCCGAGGCGCGCGCGGCGGTCAGGTGGTCGATCAGTTCATCGAGGGCCACCACATCCGCCACCCCGAGGCCCTGGGATGGGATGGCGCGGGGAGGGCCCGCATGATGAGTCCAGGACAAGCGTCTCTTCGTATTCCTGGGGCCATGCACGCGATGTGTGGCCTTGAAGGCGGGGACGTGCCGGAGTGGAGGCCCTGCACAGACTCGGAAGAGTACGGCACCAAAAGGGCGCGCGTGCATCACTGAAGTCGCATGCATGTGCTTGGTTTGCGCGATAGAATGCAAGTCTAAAGCATGCACCACCCCATGATGAACAGAGAGGCTGCTGTGGGACGAGTCGACAAGGGATGCACGTGGGTTCCTGATCTCGGAGTACCGTTCTTTCAACGCGACAGCGACGCGCATCTCTCGACCCAGACTCGACGAAAATCTGATAAATAATGTAACTTGTTCCCTCAAGTATTCCTGGGAAGGTTGCGGGTACCCTCCCTCACGCGGCAGGTCAGCCCGGAAGTGATCCCCCAGACGTGGCCGGTCCAGGCCCATCGTCGATGAGCCAAGCGCGGTGGGAGCTGGAGAACGCCGTCCAAACTGTGCAGGACTCCGATGTTGATGCCGTGTATCACTGGAACCCGGCCGAGCAGCGGGAAATGCAGCAGGCCCGCCCCTGGCTCCAGGACCCCACATACTTTAAGAGGTGTCTGGCCGGGCGCGGAGATTCGGGTGAGGGGTGCCGACTTTCAAGCATGCAAGACCTGACCTGAGCTGACCCACACGCCCGTACCCACCACAGGGTCCGCATCTCCGCCCTGGCCCTCCTGAAGATGGCCATGCATGCCCGGTCTGGGGGCGATCTGGAGGTTATGGGAGTTATGCAGGGCAAGGTCCTGGGCGACACCTTTGTGGTCATGGACGCCTTCCCGCTGCCTGTGGAGGGCACGGAGACGCGCGTGAATGCCCAGGCGGAGGCCTACGAGTACATGGTCGAGTTCCTGGAGACCAACAAGGTGGTGGTCGGCGGGGGTTGGCGGGACAAGAGGGTGGGGGTGTACAGGTGGCTTGCAGGAGGCTGGAGTCTTGGGAAGATGGGGTGCGACTGTCTGGGAGATAAAGCTCAGGAGTTTTAGGCTCAGCATGCCACATTTGGGAATGCACCCAAGACTCGCCCAGGCCCCTGCGAGGAGGCACGATCTCTAGCCCACTGTGGCCTACTTGTTTATCCTTGAGAGCTCAGTGTCTGACACGCACCCCACTCCTCCCTCCAACAGGCTTCCGGGAGGGAGGAGAACATTGTCGGCTGGTATCACAGCCACCCGGGGTACGGCTGCTGGCTGTCCGGCATCGATGTCGGGACGCAGCTCACCAATCAAAAGTATCAGGAGCCATTCCTGGCGGTGGTGGTCGACCCACACAGGACGGAAGCCGCAGGGAAAGTGGAGCTGGGGGCGTTCAGGACCTACCCCGAGGTGGGTGGGAGGCTGGTGGCTGCTGGCGACAGGATCGCAGCCTGGGGTGCAGGGAGGTCTATCCTGGCCGCGCCAGGGCGTGCAGTGCTCTGTGCTCCCCGCACCTCGCTTCCGAGGGCATGGACTGCTTCGTCCGTGCCGATTCTGATCCCGCTGTGGCACCTCCCCGCCGTGCCTGCATCCCAGCAGGGGTACAAGGCGCCGGATGCAGGTCCCTCCGAGTACCAGACCATCCCCATGGAGAAAATCGAGGATTTTGGGGTGCACGCCAACCAGGTCCGTGCTGATGTGGAAGCAGGGGTGGTGGAGTGAGGGGCTGGTTTTCCAGAGGGGGCTGGTATTATGGAGTCGCAGCAAGCATCCTCTCTGCTGACTGTAAATTATGTGCAATTCCTCTGCAATGCATC